GGTCAGGCGGCACACACCGGTAATAGTCACCCTCAGCACTAACAGACAAAGCATACATAGCAGAAAGAATAGCATCAAAGTCTAGTTCAAAAATAGCAATCCTAGACTTAAGCAGATCTGCCCAGTGAGGGAGCTCGACGTTGTCCCCAAACTCAGCACACCAAGCGTCGTCGAGGCGGGAGAAGCAGCGGTGCTGAGTGTGGAGCCGCCCGCAAGTCTGACCAGCACGGTCACCCGTGCGAATGACATACGGGCAACTACCCCCAGACGCCCCATGCAGAAACTACTCACGAAGCTGCTGGGGAGACGGGGTCTCGCTCCGACGCTGTTGCTGCTGACGCTCGCCACCCCCAGAACCGACACGCCGAGCGCCAGTCCCACCGCTACCAGTCCCACCGCCTCCACTGCCGCCACTCCCACCGCTGCCTCCACCACCGCCACCAGAGCCCCCACTCCCGCCAATAGTCGCTCCGCCGCCACCACCTCCACTGCTGCCCCCACCACCAGTCCGCTGGCACCTCCACCACCACCGCTGCCACCTCCACAACCCCGGCCACCCTTGCCCTTGCTGCTGCGGCGCTTCGCACTAGCAGAAGCAGCCCCGACTTCCTCAGCAACAGAGACGTGTGCAGCAGCAGCAGAGGCATAGGAGGGGGCAAGGGGGGAGGGGGAACACCCCTCAAAGAAGGGCGGACGCGGAGTGCCACGAGCAGCACCTACAGCAACTGCACTAGTCTCAGCTGCGAGGAGATGCTGCTCGAGGAGGTCAACAGTGAGGGAGGTGGGGTCAAGAGAGAGGAAGTGGTCCCTGACAGAGCGAAGAGAGTCAGGGAGGCGGGTGACTATAAAGTAGAGAGTGATGAACATCGAGGGCGGGTTCCTATCAAGGAACTCAGCAGGAACGGCAGCGCGGTAGCGAGCGTCACTTCCGCGAAGGTGGGAAACCAGGTCCTTCACTGTGGTAAAGGCGGACAGCTCGGGGAACAGGTAGGGCAGAAGAAGGCGGCCTAGAGCAGCAGTGGCAGGGGAGGAGTAGCGAGCGACTACAGCGTCGTACAGTGCCTGCGCTGTCCTGTGCTGTCCGAAGTGAGCGCATTCAGCTAATGGCAGGTGGTTGCGAATGGCTAAGCGGGCAGCAGCGTCACGAGTAAGCCACTGTGAGTGAGTCGAACTGTCAGCTGTAGCGGGAGGGGCAGTAGCGGCGCCTGACGCCAGGTCAAACAGCGAGACACTGTCCTTAGAATCGCTCAGTAGGTACAGCTGCAGAATGCTAGCCACATGTCAAACTGTACTGGTCTGCCCTCATGTACTGTGCAGTACGCAGGATAGTAGTAGTAGCAGCAGTAGTAGCTGTGGCAGTAGCAGCAGCGACAGTACCGGGCCGTAGCAGTAGCTGTAGCAGTAGCGGGCAAGGTACGGGGCCGGGCGTAGGCTAGGTACAGGGCCGGGTGTTGGGCTAGGTACGGGGCCGGGCGTTGCTAGGGACCGGGCCGGGCTTTGGGCTAGGTACGGGGCCGGGCGCTGGGCTAGGTACGGGGCCGTGCGGGGCTAGGGACCGGGCCGGGCGCGGGCTAGGTACGGGGCCGGGCGCTGGGCGAGGGACGGGGCCGGGCGTTGGGCGAGGGGCGGGGCCGGGCGCGGGCTAGGGTCGGGGACGGGCGCTGGGCTAGGTACGGGGCTGGGCGAGGCTAGGGACCGGGCCAGGCGCGGGCTAGGTACGGGGCCTGGCGCTGGGCGAGGGATGGGGCCGAGCACTGGGCGAGGGACGGGCCGAGCGCGGGCTAGGTACAGGCCGGGCGCGGGCTAGGTACGGGGCCTGGCGCGGGCGAGAGACGGGGCCGGGCGCGGGCTAGGTACGGGCCGGTCGCGGGCTAGGTACGGGCCGGGCGCGGGCGAGAGACGGGGTAAGGCGCGGGCTACGTACAGGCCGGTCGCGGGCTAGGTACGGGCTGGTCGCGGGCTAGGTACGGGCCGGGCGTGGGCGTGAGACGGGGCCGGGCGCGGGCTAGGTACGGGCCGGGCGCGGGCAAAGAACGGGGCCGGGCGCGGGGCTAGGGGCCGACGGGCCGCGAAGGCTAGGAGCGACGGGCTTAGGGGGGGGTACTCGCAGCGTAGCAGGTGGTGGGCCCAAGGAACCTGCTCTGATTTAATATGAAAATAATGAACGAGAATGAATGAACTAGCAAAGAGTTGGGTACAAGTATTAACCCTAATTGGGTTGTACCCTTTATGGGCTACCCCACTATAGCCTACACAATACCGTATGGCCCCGGATATAAGCGCAGGCCTATTAAAAGCGCATGCGCTTGTATCTGGAGCAATGCGCTTATGGCCGATCCTCAATTATAAGCGCACCCCTTATAAAACCCTGATATACTATAAGCGCATGTGTAATTTTATTTTTAATTCTTCATTAAAACGGTAACGAATCTCAGTTTTGCAGCGAGGCCACAACCCATTTTCGCTTACATTGACTTTCGAAGACCTCTCACATCCTGCGCGTCCAGTCAGCACGAGCTGGCACGCCCTCAAAGTGAGGTGTTACACTGTATTTTGCCTCTGGGCGCTCGCGAAGAATCGCCCGCGCGCGATTTTGACATGTGACTTTCTACAATTTCGATTCGATTGAAATCTGAAGGATGAGATGTACAATTTGGTGCATTGAAATATATATTTGTATTTGTTATATTATAAGCGCATGCGCTTATAATTTTTACTCAATTATAAGCGCACCCCCCAAAAAAACACTGTTTTATTATAAGCGCAGGTGCGCTTAAATCCGGGGTAATACGGTATAAGCTATATAACATTTTGACAAGGAGGTCAGGCGAAGATGGCCCGGAGAGGGTTGCGATTGGAGCTGGGGCGACTCGGGAGTGGTTTGGAGCGACGAAATAGGCCGAACCGAACTGACGGGTGCTCCTCGGGTTGTACTCGCTAAAGTGCGAGTATAGTAAGGAATTGTAATTCCTTACACTCTCCCACCTTCTAAACAAGGCAGCCCTGTATTCCAATAGGTTCCACACTAGCAAGGATGCGTGGTTCTTTTCTTTAGCTGAAATCTGACGGCTGAAATGCCTTGGGCGAATTTGAAGAAACGGTTGGAATGTAGATCGTCGATTAAGGTAGATGTCGATCTGACGGACGCGGATGGCTTGGCCCAATCGATTTGAAGGTTGGAATATGGGTCGTATATGCAATGGCTCTAGATCTGACAGACGAAACTGGTCCTGACCAATGTTAACTGGAAGTTGTAATTGAAGTCGTCGATGCACTTTGAACTCGATCTGACGGCCGACGATGACGCGAATGTGGGGGGAACCTGCTAACGCAGTGATCAGTCGCGATGGACCAGGAACTACAAAATGTTCCGGGTTAGAGGCTCTCACTAAAAGAGTCCCTTTTTCCCCTTGAGTAGAGTTTTCCGATATCGCCTAGGATTGGCCCGACCCCTATAGTCCCTTTTTTGGCGGGAATTTTTGCAGCTTGATCGAATCATTGCACGAATCAGCTCCGCAGCCAATCAGAGGCTCCAGATCGAACCAGCCCAACATTCAGGGAAAATGATAAATAAGGGATCGTCGATTCTATATTTAACTTTGGAATTGTAAGTAATTGTTTCTCTTGACCTTTATTACTTTTCAATCCTGTCGTGCGGTCTCCAGCGCGCTGGACGATGACATCTCATTTATCTCGCTTAGAGGGTAAAATTGAAGTTTTTACCTTCTATTCGACTCCCAAACCATAATTGATCTTGACATTCAAGCTAGCACCTAGAACCCTAGCTATGGTTCCTACGTTCAACTAGCTACTTTCGACATGGTATCAGAGCAGGTCGTTGCTAGGACCTAACATTAATGGGCCCACCACCTAATGCCCTGCTAGCCTAGGCCACGGCCCGTCGCCCCTTGGCGTTGCCCCTAGCCCCTAGGCTCGGCCCCTTGGCCCCGTCGCCCCTAGCTGTGCCACTCGGCCCCGTTGGCCTCGTCAACCCCGTCGCCCTGCGCCCGGCCCGTACCTAGCCCGCGACCGGCCCGTACCTAGCCCGCGCCCGGCCCCGTCTGTCGCCCGCGCCTGGCCCCGTACCTAGCCCGCGCCCGGCCCGTATCACGCCCGCGCCCGGCCCCGTACCTAGCCCGCGCCCCGGCCCCGTACCTGCCCAGCGCCCGGCCCCGTACCTAGTCCTGCGCCCGGCCCCGTACCTAGCCCGCACCCGGCCCAGTACCTAGCCCGCGCCCAGCCCCGTTCCGCGCCCAGCGCCCGGCTCCATACCTGCCCAGCGCCCGGCCCCATACCTGCCCAGCGCCCGGCCCCGTCTCTAGCCCAGCGCTCGGCCCCGTACCTAGCCCGCGCCCGGCCCAGTACCTAGCCCGCGCCCATCGCCCGGCCCCGTACCTGCCCAGCGCCAGGCCCTGTCCCTAGCCCAGCGCCCGGCCCCGTACCTAGCCCGCGCCCGGCCACGTACCTAGACCCGCGCACGGCCCCGTACCTAGCCCGCGCCCGGCCCCGTACCTAGCCCGCGCCCGGCCCAGTACCTAGCCCGCGCCCGGCCCCGTACCTGCCCGCGCTCGGCCACATACCTAGACCCGCGCACAGCCCCGTACCTAGTCCGCGCCCGGCCCTGTACCTAGCCCGCGCCTGGCCCCGTACCTAGCCCACGCCCGGCCCAGTACCTAGCCCGCGCCCGGCCCCGTACCTAGCCTCGCGCCCGGCCCCGTTCCGCGCCCAACGCCCTGCCCCGTACCTAGCCCGCGCCCGGCCCAGTACCTAGCCCGCGCCCGGCCCCGTTCCGCGCCCAGCGCCCGGCCCCATACCTGCCCAGCGCCCGGCCCCGTACCTGCCCAGCGCCCGGCCCCGTCTCTAGCCCAGCTCCTGGCCCCGTACCTAGCCCGCGCCCGGCCCAGTACCTAGCCCGCGCCCGGCTCCGTTCCACGCCCTCGCCCAGCCCTGTACCTGCCCAGCTCCCGGCCCCATCCCTAGCCCAGCGCCCGGCCCCGTACCTAGCCGCGCCCCTTGGCCCCGTTGGCCCCATCGCCCCTAGCCGCGACCCTCGGCCTCGTTGGCCCCGTCGACCCCGTCGCCCCTAGCCGCGCACCTTGGCCCCGGTGCCCCGTCGCGTCATGGAGGGTAAGGGGGTGGCAAGAGGGGTGACGGCTTCCTGCCCACGTGCCCTGCAGTCGCACGCGCAGCTCCGCCCCCGCCCCCCTCCCCCCCCTCCCCCCCCTCCATGGGGACAGGGGGGAGAGGGTGTGAGGGGGTGGCGGATGTGCCTCAGCAGCAGCGGCTGCCGCCACGCCACCTCCTCTCTCTCTCCCTGCCGTATTCTGTGTTGGGAGGGGGGGGGGAGTTTGGAGGTTCAGGGGGAGGCAGGAGGGGATCTGCACCAGCCCCCCCCGCCCCCCCTTTCTCCTCCATCCCTGGGGGGTGACGGATTGTGGAGCAGCAGTGGGGGGGAGGGGATCTGCAGCACCAGCCCCCCCTGCCCCCCCCTTCTCCTACCTCCCCCTGCTGCGGGTGCAGCAGTGGGGGGGAGGGGATCTGCAGCACCAACCCCCCCCGTCCCCCCCCTTCTCCTTCATTTTTGGGGGGTGACGGATAGTGGAGCAGCAGTGGGGGGGAGGGGATTTGCAGCATCAGCCCCCCCCCCCCGCCCCCCCTTCTCCTCTCTCTCTCCCTGCCGCACCTTGTGTTGGGAGGGGGGGAGGAGCTTGGAGGTTCAGGGGGAGGCAGGAGGGGATCTGCAGCACCAGCCCCCCCCGCCCCCCCTTTCTCCTCCATCCCTGGGGGGTGAAGGATTGTGGAGCAGCAGTGGGGGGGAGGGGATCTGCAGCACCAGCCCCCCCCGCCCCCCCTTTCTCCTACCTCCCCCTGCTGCGGGTGCAGCAGTGGGGGGGAGGGGATCTGCAGCACCAACCCCCCCCGTCCCCCCCCTTCTCCTTCATCCCTGGGGGGTGATGGATAGTGGAGCAGCAGTGAGGGGGAGGGGATTTGCAGCATCAGCCCCCGCCCCCCCCCCCCCCCCCGCCCCCCCCCTTCTCCTCTCTCTCTCCCTGCTGCACTTTGTGTTGGGAGGGGGGGGGGAGCTTGGAGGTTCAGGGGGAGGCAGGAGGGGATCTGCCGCCCTGCGCGCCCTGCTGCCCTGCAGCCCTGTGCGCTCTGCGGCCCTACTGCGCCCCGCGCGCCCTACTGCCCTGCTGCCCTGTGCGCCCCATGCGACCTGCTGTCCTGCTGCCCTGCGCGCCCTGCAGCCCTGCGCGCCCCGCGCGCCCTGCTGCCCTGCAGCCCTGTGCGCCCTGCTGCCCTGCAGCCCTGTGCGCCCTGCTGCCCTGCTGCCCTGTGCGCCCCGCGCGCCCTGCTGTCCTGCGCGCCCTGCGCGCCCTGCTGTCCTGCTGCCCTGCGCGCCCCGCGCGCCCTGCAGCCCTGCGCGCCACGCGCGCCCTGCTGTCCTGCGCGCCCCGCGCGCCCTGCGGCCCTGTGCGCCCCGCGCGCCCTGCTGCCCTGCTGCCCTGTGCGCCCCGCGCGCCCTGCAGCACTGCGCGCCACGCATGCCCTGTTGTCCTGCGCGCCCCGCGCGCCCTTCTGCCCTGCTGCCCTGCTGCCCTGCTGCCCTGTGCGCCCCGCGCGCCCTGCAGCCCTGTGCGCCCCGCGCGCCCTGCTGTCCTGCTGCCCTGCGCGCCCCGCGCACCCTGCTGTCCTGCTGCCCTGCGCGCCATGCGCGGACTGCAGCCCTGCGCGCCCCGCGCGCCCTGCTGCCCTGCAGCCCTGTGCGCCCTGCTGCCCTGCAGCACTGTGCGCCCTGCTGCCCTGCTGCCCTGTACGCCCCGCGCGCCCTGCAGCCCTGCGCGCCCCGCGCGCCTTGCTGTCCTGCTGCCCTGCGTGTCCTGCGCGCCCCGCGCGCCCTGCAGCCCTGCTGCGCCCCACGCGCTCTGCTGCCCTGCTGCAAGCTGCTGCCACTACAGCCCTTGCTGTTGCCGCTACAGCCCTTGCTGCTGCCGCAACAGCCCTTGCTGTTGCCGCTACAGCCCTTGCTGCTGCCGCTATAGCCCTTGCTGCTGCCGCTACAGCCCCTGCTGCTGCCGCTACAGTCCTTGCTGCTGCCGCTACAGCCCTTGCTGCTGCCGCTACAGTCCTTGCTGCGGCCGCTACAGCCCTTTCTGCTGTCCGGCGCGCCCCGTGCGCCCTGCAGCCCTGCACGCCACGCGCGCCCTGCTGTCTTGTGCGCCCCGTGCGCCCTGCTGCCCTCTGCACGCGCATCTGCAGCCCCATGCGCAGCCCCTACCCCGCTCCCCCCCCCCTCCCCCCCTTTTCTCCTCCCTCTCCCTGCTGCACGTGCAGCAGTTGGGGTGCAGGGGAGGGGGGGGGAGGGGAGGGTGTGAGGGGGAGGTTGCACCTCCAGCGCCAACCTGCCTCCTCTCTCTCACAGCCGCACCTGCTGCTGTGGGGGGGAGTGTGAAGTGGTGGGGAGGCTTAGGGGATGTGGGTGGTGGGTGACACAGCTGCAGCAGCTTAGCATTCTAACAATCTTGTGACTGCTGTTCGGTTTGGCTATCCCCTCCTTCACCTATGGGGGTGTGTCAGAACAGTTACATGTTTATATGTTTCTAGGTTGTGTAGGGGTTATCCCTAGAGGGTACAACTAGATTTACTCGACACTCTTGTACCCCCCCTCCTCACCTAATCGATATCACTCTTTTGTTCTATTTGCCTTGCTCTACTCTCTCGACATTCAAGCTAGCACCTAGAACCCTAGCTATGGTTCCTACGTTCAACTAGCTACTTTCGACATTGTTTTGCCCATTAGTCATGCGGACATTGATCAGCACGGGGAACCGTGCAACGAGAAGTTGAAGCAAGCGTGGTCCGAATCTACGTAAAAGATGAAATCCAGAAACTAGTAGCAAACAAACCACTCTTCATGCAATTTTCTTGAGCGGGACTATAAGTATCGCGTTTTGCCCCGGGTTTGAAGTTTTTCGCACATAGTCCGCGCGCGGCGTCTCATTCCGTCTGACTATAAACGAGAACATGTGTATTGATTTTGATGATCGTCCATCGTGCTCCTGAACTCTGACGAGTCGAAAACTGCCAAGGAAAAACAGTGCCGCGCACTTTCTCCCCCCCTTCAAGAAAACCATCACGGAAATGCAGCTGCGACGAGATGAAAAACAACCAAGAGCAGGTGGTACGTCGCACGTATGAACGTGATGAGCAGTGATACCCAAGCGAGAAGGCATCGGTGTGGAAATATGATGACGAAAATAGGTGTGACGTGCCCAAAAATCGAAAAGGGCAAACCAGTAGATGTAGACCAGGAACCGAAACGAAAACTACCGAGTACTCGAACTTAACATTTTTGTCTTCATTTCTCCAGAATCAGGTGATATCTTAAGCAGTTGAAGATGGCTGCTCCTGGCGTGGTCGAATTAAATACATGCTGTCGTGGGCGGAGCTGAGTTGCGATGTTGTCGCTAGCAGAGTTGGAATGAATCCTCCTGAAATCCTATGGCGTGGAATCAGGGGTGTGGAAAAAACCTGATGATGAAGGCGATTGGTAGCGAATTTGAATACAAGAGTCCGCGATAATAGTCGCAGTAGTTACCAGATCGAAAATCACTCCCGTCGAAAATGTCGAATGCATTATCCGTGTAGGATGATGTCAGCACCTTCGGCGATTTTGTCCAGACTCGCCGAGCAGTTTGTCGCTATTCACCGAGGGCTCTTGGGCAGAGATGAAAAAATGAAGCTGTCTCTTCCCCGTCTTCACAATTGCTGCTACTCCTCCATTTCGTCGTAATGGCTTGTTGCAATTCGCGGTGCACTGTATCGGCTCGGATCGGAGCATGGGTTAGGAAAGCTCCGTGAAAGCAAGACGTCGTGAAAATTATCAAAGTAACGAACGAGAATGGATGAACTATGAAACAGTTGGGAACAAGTACTAACCCTAATTGAGTTGTACCCCTTATGGGCTACCCCACTATAGCCTACACAAAATGTAAAAGCTATAACGTTCTGACACACCCCCATAGGCAAAGTGGGGGAGAACAAGTGGTCACAAGACCAGTCAAGAAAAGCAAGGCAAGCTCAGGGTGGATCACAAAGTCACCACACAGTCCGAGCACAAGCAAAGGGCCACAAGGCCAGCTCACATGCGGTGTTATATATAAAAGAGAAACAAACAATACAGTTATCATACCCAAGCAAGTGCAAGCATGCAGGTATATATATAGATCACAGTACAAGCAAAGTCACGCAGTAAGAAAGTGAGGCAAACTAGGCACAAGGCCTAACACAGTAACAAAACGCTGATGATCACCAGGCGGAAGTGCCTTGGTGAAGACATCAGAAGCGTTGGCCCGAGTGGCCACGTACACAAGACGAAGCTGGCCACGCTGCTGCAACTCTCGAGCAAGGAAGTATCGCAGAGCGATGTGCTTCATTCTGTGCTCTAGTCTGTGCTCTTGACACAAGGCAATCATGGCCTTGTTGTCTACGTACAGAACTGGAGGCGAACGAGGCTGCTCTCCCAAGTCAGTCAGCAGGTAGGTGAGCCAACGTAGCTCCTGTACAGCCATGGCCCCAGCGTAGATCTCAGACTCACAACTAGAGCTGAGAACAAAAAACGAGCGAGTGGACCGCCAGGAGATAGAGCCAGAGCCAAGGCTGAAGGTGTAACCCTGTGAAGACCGCTGCGTAGCTGAGTCGTCAACCCAGGAAGCGTCTACGTGACCGGTGAGGACAACAAGACCCCGTCCTCCAAGCACGAGCCCCATGCCCGACGTACTGCACAAGTAACGCAGTACCCTCTTCGCAGCATCCCAATGCACCTTTCGGTGCCTGCTGGGAGCCACGTAGCAAGCCAAGAGGCTGAGAGGGTACACGAGGTCGGGTCGAGTGCACGTCATCAGGTACATGAGGCAACCCACAATCTCTGGGTACGGACCACTCGGCTCTACGGACTCGTCCGAAGGTGGAGCTGAGAGCGAGTGGCTGGTAGACAGAGGAGTGAGCTGTGGCGAGGAGAATTGGAAGCCAAAGCGCTGAAGGACCTGGTGCTTCATGTGTGACTGAGTCAGGGTAATGGTGCGCCGAGCTCTGTCCCGGGTGATCTGCAAGCCAAGATAGCTGCGCAGTTCACCCAGGTCAGTGCAGGTGTGTCTCTTCTGCAGCTCCGACTTCACAAGGGTCAGTGCCTCAGTGTCAGCAGTGGCAAAGACGAGGTCGTCGACGTAGACAAATACGTAGAAAGGCGGCAGCGAGGTGTCGGTGCGTAGAAACAGCGACGGCTCAGTAGTAGCAGGAGCAAACCCAAGAGCTGCAAGTGTAGTCCTCAGCGTGTCGTGCCACTCGCGAGGCGCCTGACAGAGACCGTAGACTGGCCGCCGAAGACTCCAATGAGTACCTGCAGGAAAAGACTCAGTGAAACCAGGTGGGCGGCGCAACTAGATCACCTCGTGCAGGCTGCCTTGCAGGAAAGCTGTGCTGAAGTCCAGAGAGTGCAACTCGTAGTCACGCTGAGCAGCAATGTGCAGCATTACCTGAAGAGTAGTCATCTTCGAGGTGGGGGAGAAGGTCTGGAAGTAGTCAACTCCCTGTCGCTGACTGAAGCCTCTAGCAACGTAACGTGCCTTGAAGGCAGGCAGAGAACCCGGCGGCCGCTTCACCCTGAAGATCCACATGCCATCGACTATGTTCGCCCCAGGTGGGGGAACCTCGTCGACGTAGGTGCCTGTGGACTTCCAGGATGCCATCTCGGCATCCATGGCTGCCTGCCACTGAGAGGAGTAAGGACCCGTAATCGCCTCTGCGTAAGAGCGCGGGGTCAGGATGTCTGGAGCATCCGGGTCTCCCTCAGGGGCAAGCAGCATGGAAGCGAAACGAGGTACAGCAGCTGCAAGACACTCAAAGTCCTCCTGCCTGTCCTCAAGGACGTCCGTGCGAAGAGCA